TTTTGTGTGTGTGTATATAAAAAATATATATATATATATATATATATATATATATATATATATATATATATATACACACATACACCTTGCTACGTGTACTGCGTTAGGCTAACCGAGACTTGTCATTTGCACTTATATATTGTTGCTCTTTTGTTAGTTTTGACTGCTTTTATTGTCCTCATTTGTAAGTCGCTTTGGATAAAAGCGTCTGCTAAATGTAAATGCATACTGTGACAAACAAATACGAAAATAAATGTACATGGATGCATTAAAAGAAACAGAAATCAGTAACCAGCCAGAAAAAGGAGAGAAAAAGAAAGCAAGAAATGGGAAAGGAGAAAGAAAATATAATATGACAGGGCTGCTTTAAAATCGTCTTTGAACATATTCAGATCAGAAGTGGCATGTGATCCGGGATAGACATTGGCAAGCATCTTCAAACAGTCCGATGGCGCAGGTTGGCCCCAACCGCACGGACAAAGTCACCAGTGGTGCTGTAACCCCCTAGGTCTCGCGTCCTCACCTGGGACACACAGACGGTCACGTACACCCAGAACAGGATGAGACGGCAGAGGAGGAAAGGTGGAGAAAGGGAAGGTGAAGACCACATCAGAATTTATGGACAAGCACAAAATTGAGGCCTAGAATTTGCTGCATGACAGAGTTTCCATTAGGAGGAAATTATTTAAAAATGCCAAAGCTGAAGTTGAATGTATACACTGAGGGACATCTGTGTTAATGAACTGAATGTATAATAATAATGGATTCAAGATCCCATGAAATCAGGTTTGGTATTTTGTGGCTTTTAGTTTCTGTCTGTTAGCCCAATTCCTCTATTAAAAATACCATGTGCTTTTGACTGGCAACGGCAAACCATAATTGTCTTCAGTTGTGCTAATGCTTGAACGTTATTTTTTTGTAACACTTCACCAGCTACAGGTGGAGAGGAGAGAGAGAGATAGAGCTGATTCAATGGATGGGGATTATTAGGAGGCCATGATTGACAAGGGCCAAGTGGAGGGAATTTGGCCAGGACACCGGGGGTACACCCCTACTCTTTACGAAAAGTGCCATGGGATTTTTAATGACCACAGAGAGTCAGGACTTCGGTTTAACGTCTCATCCGAAGGAAGGTGCTTTTTACAGTATAGTCCGTCTCCCATCCAGGTACTGACCAGGCTCAACCCTGCTTAGCTTCAGTGGGCAACCAGTCTTGGTCTACAGGGTGATATGGCTGTGGCAAAAGACGTGTCAAGACGAAAAAAGAAAAAGGCCCTTGTCAGACTATCACATGAGGTCTTTAAATAAGATGACAGACATAAAAGAAAAGACGAAGTCTGATAGTTAGCAGAACTTCAACCCACAAAATTAACCGAAAAGCCCCAACTGCCCACATAAAACACAGAGGGCTTCAACCAAAGTGTAATGCAGAAACAAAACCGGATATCCTAAAACTATTCATTTAATAAAGTGTTTCAGTGTTAAAGATATAGTGCTGTGTTGTGGTTAGGGTCATTCATCCAAAGCCAATTGCAAAGGGAAACCAACCAATTAGTATGAAAACCAGTGCCACCAGGACTATACAGATTTACATGCATAAACGTCCATCAACAATAAACTTGGCATCTTGAACTATATGCATCTTACATACGATGAAAGTGTGTTTCAATGTTTTTCTATCAGCCACACAATACACCTTTCTCTCCCATTCAGACATGATCACACAAACACACACAATCATCTCTTACCTTGCCCTGCTTGACGACTTTCTTGACAGCCTCAGACACCATGTTTGAATGATACTCAAGACTGAAAGAAAAAACCCACTTGCATAAATACAATTACCAAGACTGGTCAAAAGTTTAGAATAATTAACATTGTTTTAAAAGTCTTTGAAAGAAGTCTTTTATGCTCACTAATGGTGCATTTATTTGATAAAAAAAATGTAAGTAACTGTTTTCTATTTGAATAGATTTTAACATTTAATTTACTCCTCTGTGACACTGAAGACTGGAATAAGCTATGCTATTGTATCACAGGAATAAATTATAATTTTAAATATGCAAATTTAAAATTTTCGCTGTATTTTAATCAAATACATACAGCCTTGTTGCGCACAAGAGACTTTCAAAAACGTTTTTAAAAATATTTTTTTTAAATCCTAATTATTACAAACTTAGGACCACAAAACATGTAAAAGGCAAATTCAGATGACAAGCTGTCCGAATTAAGAGATGAAAACCATGTTGAATGTGAATATGTGGTCAACACAGATTAAAGGTAAAATTTAAAGAGTAAAAACAAGATATGATTGTCAAACAAAGTAAATATGGAATATCAAAGCTGGACAACAGAGGACGACTCACTTGAGGTGTCTCAACATGTTGGATGCAGTGAGGAGCATAGCAGTAGGGTTTGCAATATTCCTGCCGACAGCCTGAGCAAAGGGATGTCTGGCTCCCTGATTGTAAATACAAGACGACAGGAATCACTGTTAAGTTGTCATACACACTTCAAAGCAGTTTATTCTGAGTCTGTAACTGTTACAGTTGATATATAATGAAAGGAATGAAAAACAAGATTTAGTCACTAACCGTTTCAAACACAGCATATTCTGCACTGTAACTCTCGCCTGGAACTACACCGGCTCCGCCCACCAGTCCTGCTGCCAGGTTATCAATGATGTTGCCATAGAGATTTGGCATCACTAGCACATCAAACTGATAAGGATTCTGGACCAGCTGTGGGCCACAGAAGAATATACTACTTATATAGGCCATTCTCATTGCTGGTCATTAACAATAAAAGACAAGAAACTATACCTGCATGCAGCAGTTATCAATGATGATGCTTTCATATTTAATCTTGGGGTAAAGTTCAGCCACTTCCGCACAGCTCTGCAGGAAGAGACCATCCCCAAGTTTCCTGCAAAGATAATCCAAGGTGAGCGTGTCAATGGGTTTAGCTTTAAAACTGCATGGCAGAATAATCCTGCCCCACTTACATAATGTTTGCTTTGTGGACAGCAGTCACTTTGCTGCGGCCTTTCTTGGTGGCGTAGTCGAATGCAAATTTAGCGATGCGGCGAGATTTCTCCCTGGTGATGATCTTCAGGCATGCAACCACTCCTGAAACACTCTACAAACACAGAGGTGCTCATAATGCAGATGTACACTAGAGTGTTTTTTTTTTTTTTAAAGAAATTAATAAATTTCTTAATGCAATTCAAAAAATGCATTAAGTTGATCAAAAGGGTTTCATTTAAAATAAATGCTGTTCTTTCTATTCATCAAAACATCCTGAAAAAAATATATCACGGTTTCCACAAAAATATTAAGCAGCTCAACTGTTTTTGACATTGATAATAAGAAATATTTCTTGAGCACCAAATCAGCATATCAGAATGATTTCTGAAGGATCATGTGACACTGAAGACTGGAGTAATGATGCTGAAAATTCAGCTTTTCCATCACAGGGATATTTTACATTTTCAAATATATATAAAAAAAAGTTTTTGAATTGTAATAACATTTCACAATATTACTGTTTTTATTGTACTTTGATTAAATAAATGCAGCCTTGGTGAACATAAGAGACGTCTTTAAAAAAAAAACCTTTTGCCTGGTAATGTAGGGGACGATCTAAATGACTTCAGAATTTTTTTTTTAAGTCGACGTTTACAGTGGGTATAGAAAAGAATCACCCCCTTTAAAATAATCACATTTTGTTGCTTTGCAGCCTGAAATGAAGACGGACACAGTTTTTGTTTTAACCAGCTGTATTTACTCAGTACAACTTATAACAGCCAAGTGAAAGATAGAACACCAACATGTTAGAAGAAGAAAAAAAACAAAACAAAAAAACAGAATCAACCCTTATATTGTATCAGAAAATAATATGCTTCAAAAGTTACTTTTGCAGATTCTGTTTTAGAAAGGGACAATAAACTATCATTTATGTTAAAGCAAAAGTGGTAGAAAAGAGTTTAGATTGTCTTTACATGTTTGATGAATCATGCTAAATAAGATGTTTGTGTTAAAGCAATCATTTTAACTTCTTGGGTGAAATGTGTCATCATATCACCCTTACATTTTTCCAAACCCCTGCACTATTTCTAGTAAAACACAAAAGGAAAATATCAGATTTTTTTCTTTTTTTTTATTTCATATCACGATAGTTGATAGTAACCACATCCCTCAGCATAAAAACAAAAAAGACACAAAGCATCATAAAAGCTCATGTGATGCATGTTATATTTCAAAGCAATATGTAAGCTTTGCGTGTGAAATAGACCTAAATTTAAATAACTGACAATGTTTCCTTCCAGATCTGTTGGATCTTTCAGCCCAATATGTGAATCGGATCAACCAATTCATTGAGAACAATTAGCTCAAAATAAAGTTTCATTCAAGAAATTAACACTGGTTCACGAGTTCAACTCAATGTCTCAAATATCTGGTCAACAGCCCATGGGAGGGAAAGATGATCAAAACCTTAAACGTATGTACCTCACACAGAAATAAATTTTTTAAGCACAACAAATACCTCATGCTCCAGAGAGCTGTATTCTCCCTCTGTCTGCTCCCGTATGATGACCAGATCCAGGTTATTGTGGCGGGTGCTATATCCAGGCAGGCTGTTCACATGAACCACATTGGCAAACAGGTCCAGCTTTCTCCTGTACATCATAAAACAAGAAATAATCAATCAAGCAACCAATCAATCAAAAACTATCAGTACCATGAGCAGTACAAGGCAGCAACGGACATATGTTAAAGGGGTGGTTCACTTGTTTTTTTTCTAGGCTTGATTGTGTTTATGGGGTGCAGTCTAACATGTTAATGCTTCGTTTAAAAAAAAAAGAAACATTATTTTTTCCCCACATAATTTACCTTTATTCCACACCACTCTGTCCCTTCTCTGAGAAACGTGCTGATCATTTCCTTCTTTTATGAAGCCCCACCCTCAGAAATAGGCGATGGGCTCTGATTGGTTAGTTAGCCCAGTGTGTTGTGATTGGCTCAACCGTCTCTAGTGCGCGTCTAAACATCCCGCCCCTCCCCTCAGCGGCATGTGCTCCAGTTGTGTTGTAAACAATGATGTCGTTAATATCGCTTATCAGTTTGAGAAGCAGACGAAATTGAAGAGGATCGTGCAGAACCTGTGCAAGCACGGTTTTTAATGGTAGACCTACCTTTTTTGTTTGTTGAGGTCTCATACTTTTAGATACGCTGTTATTTGTAAATGCTACTGCTTATGTTAGATTATAGGGTTTTATCCTGATTAAAGCTTTAATACAGTACGGCAACTGCACGCGCGTCCATGTTTAATGCTTCTCATAGCTATGTGAAAATAAGTGTATAATTGTAACAGTTCATTGTTGGAGCGGAGCTGAGCTGAATGAGAGAGATGCTTTGTCTCAATGTGCCTACTTATACTACACCCTTAAAGTATGTACTCTTTGGTGAAGAAAAAGTACACACTTTTGAGTATGTAGTAGAAGAGTAGGCAAGCTTTGGGACATACTATCATGTCATACAACTGCATCTTAACGGACGCTCTGTGGCATAGATACACGCACCCTGTCACTGTAAACTGGCCTGTCAATCATCTTGTCACACTTAACATCCTCCACATTGCATTTCATTCAAGCCTTGGTGAACATAAGAGACGTCTTTAAAAAAAAAAACTTTTGCCTGGTAATGTAGGGGACGATCTAAATGACTTCAGAATTTTTTTTTAAGTCGACGTTTACAGTGGGTATAGAAAAGAATCACCCCCTTTAAAATAAATCACATTTTGTTGCTTTGCAGCCTGAAATGAAGACGGACACAGTTTTTGTTTTAACCAGCTGTATTTACTCAGTACAACTTATAACAGCCAAGTGAAAGATAGAACACCAACATGTTAGAAGAAGAAAAAAAACAAAACAAAAAAACAGAATCAACCCTTATATTGTATCAGAAAATAATATGCTTCAAAAGTTACTTTTGCAGATTCTGTTTTAGAAAGGGACAATAAACTATCATTTATGTTAAAGCAAAAGTGGTAGAAAAGAGTTTAGATTGTCTTTACATGTTTGATGAATCATGCTAAATAAGATGTTTGTGTTAAAGCAATCATTTTAACTTCTTGGGTGAAATGTGTCATCATATCACCCTTACATTTTTCCAAACCCCTGCACTATTTCTAGTAAAACACAAAAGGAAAATATCAGATTTTTTTCTTTTTTTTTATTTCATATCACGATAGTTGATAGTAACCACATCCCTCAGCATAAAAACAAAAAAGACACAAAGCATCATAAAAGCTCATGTGATGCATGTTATATTTCAAAGCAATATGTAAGCTTTGCGTGTGAAATAGACCTAAATTTAAATAACTGACAATGTTTCCTTCCAGATCTGTTGGATCTTTCAGCCCAATATGTGAATCGGATCAACCAATTCATTGAGAACAATTAGCTCAAAATAAAGTTTCATTCAAGAAATTAACACTGGTTCACGAGTTCAACTCAATGTCTCAAATATCTGGTCAACAGCCCATGGGAGGGAAAGATGATCAAAACCTTAAACGTATGTACCTCACACAGAAATAAATTTTTTAAGCACAACAAATACCTCATGCTCCAGAGAGCTGTATTCTCCCTCTGTCTGCTCCCGTATGATGACCAGATCCAGGTTATTGTGGCGGGTGCTATATCCAGGCAGGCTGTTCACATGAACCACATTGGCAAACAGGTCCAGCTTTCTCCTGTACATCATAAAACAAGAAATAATCAATCAAGCAACCAATCAATCAAAAACTATCAGTACCATGAGCAGTACAAGGCAGCAACGGACATATGTTAAAGGGGTGGTTCACTTGTTTTTTTTCTAGGCTTGATTGTGTTTATGGGGTGCAGTCTAACATGTTAATGCTTCGTTTAAAAAAAAAAGAAACATTATTTTTTCCCCACATAATTTACCTTTATTCCACACCACTCTGTCCCTTCTCTGAGAAACGTGCTGATCATTTCCTTCTTTTATGAAGCCCCAACCTCAGAAATAGGCGATGGGCTCTGATTGGTTAGTTAGCCCAGTGTGTTGTGATTGGCTCAACCGTCTCTAGTGCGCGTCTAAACATCCCGCCCCTCCCCTCAGCGGCATGTGCTCCAGTTGTGTTGTAAACAATGATGTCGTTAATATCGCTTATCAGTTTGAGAAGCAGACGAAATTGAAGAGGATCGTGCAGAACCTGTGCAAGCACGGTTTTTAATGGTAGGCCTATGTTTTTTGTTTGTTGTGGTCTCATACTTTTAGATACGCTGTTATTTGTAAATGCTACTGCTTATGTTAGATTATAGGGTTTTATCCTGATTAAAGCTTTAATACAGTACGGCAACTGCACGCGCGTCCATGTTTAATGCTTCTCATAGCTATGTGAAAATAAGTGTATAATTGTAACAGTTCATTGTTGGAGCGGAGCTGAGCTGAATGAGAGAGATGCTTTGTCTCAATGTGCCTACTTATACTACACCCTTAAAGTATGTACTCTTTGGTGAAGAAAAAGTACACACTTTTGAGTATGTAGTAGAAGAGTAGGCAAGCTTTGGGACATACTATCATGTCATACAACTGCATCTTAACGGACGCTCTGTGGCATAGATACACGCACCCTGTCACTGTAAACTGGCCTGTCAATCATCTTGTCACACTTAACATCCTCCACATTGCATTTCATTCAACTTTCTACCATATTGGAGAGAAAAGAAGTAGCACACTGATCTGCCAGTCGCGGGTCTTTCATGCCGAGAACTCTGCTTATATTTTATGCATAATCATGCATTTAAAAGTTAACGACCAAACGGATGTTTATAAAAGTTTACTTTGCTGTTGCAGATGAAATATAACACAGATAACATTAAATAAATATTTTTTACCAGGTTAAATGTTGAATATTAGTAACTCAAACCCCTTTTTCTAAGCCTCTCTACCTACCGCCGGTCGCGCACATCCACCATGTTTGTAGTTTAACACGTTTTATTCGTGTTTGTAGTTCTGGACAGAATCCTTCACCAAAGCGCAATGGATTGTGCGCAATATTAGCCATTAAAGGGTTAGTTCACCCAAAAATGAAAATTAGCCCATAAATTACTCACCCTCAAGTCTTTCAGACGAATCCAGTCAGAGTTACATAAAAAAATGTCTTTGATCTTCCAAGGTGTTTCATGGCACTCAGCGGGTGTTGCATGCATCAGTCCAAAAGAAGTTAAATAAAAAGCGCCCAAAAAAAAGTCTCTCTGCTGAATCAGCCCGGAGCTGTTCCGTGTAGGACTGTTGGAGCAAGCTACATTGAAGTGATTATTACGTTTTGAATATGGATATTTTTCTTACAAAAACACATCGATTCACTACTTCTGCCCGCTTTAGATCAGAAATAGTGCTGTAAGATCACATTTATTTGAATTAATTATAAAATTGAGTTACTTGAATTAATTATTATTCGAGAGAGAGAGGTGACAGTTGCCTGTGTGAATTAGCCTACCTGCGTCTGTGCGTCTCTCCAGTAAGCTATTTAATCCATTTTATTAATAAAAGTCACGGGGCAGCATTCTCAAGAAGTTTGTGTCCTCCTGAATGTTTGTACACGTGTGCAGTGCGATCTCCGATCTCACAAACCAAAATAATAGGCATGATTTTCTCAAGCCACATGTAAAATCCTATGAATTATTATAAAGATTATTAAAATGAATACGTATGGATGAGTTGATAACAATATTTCAGTTTATTTCCATCATTAGTAACAGTTTCCCCTGTGGGGCAAATAAAGTTAATATTAGTCGTATATTAATAATAGGAAGAAAGTCATATACACCTAGGATGACTAAGAGGGTGAGTAATTTATGGACTAATTTTCATTTCTGGGTGAACTAACCCTTTAAGAGTGTGCACGGATGCACACTTCAAAAATCGACCTGAAATAGTAGACCATTCGGGGACTTTTGGCATACTCTTTTCAACATACTATGCTTTGGGACACACTTATTCTAATCTCACATACTATTTAGGATAGATAGTATGAACATTGAGACGCAGGGAGAGAGAGAGAGAGAGAGAGAGAGAAATACAGAGCGTGTGCAGAGCAGGGGGACGCGAGGAACAGTATTAAGAACCGCTGCTTTAGAACATTGATTTTGAAACTTGTGAATCCATAAGAATCGTTAGAAGACAGAATCGCGATTCATATATGAATAGATTTTTACGTGCAGCTCTAGTTTTCTCTTCCTCTTCTCTAAAGCAGTGCAGCATGGCCTCGCCCCCTTTGTTGCCTTTTCCCGAGGGCGGGGTTTATCTGGGTTTGTTACGTCATGAACCCGGGAAGTAACTTGTTGTTTTTGTAGGCATTAAACTGCCAGAATTTTAATAAATGGATATCTCCGTTTGCATTGAACTTTCAGCTTCGTAACTTTGCAGATATTGTTTATGCACAAATCAGCAACATTACACACAAACTAACTAACGTTAAAAAAAGTGAAATCGCAATGAACCACCCCTTTAAAGAAGTACCTCAGTCTCATCTCATATGATGCCAGTTCACCCTTGTACTCCATAGGAGTGTGAATCTTTCCTAAGCACAGAAAGAACTGAATCAACATTTCTTTTAAATGCCAAATTAGCATTTGTCAGTACAGTACATCAAAATATAAATAAGCTTGCACTAATTTAACATTTTAAATTGACAGCCAAAATATTACGACATGATCAGCAGTTAAAATGTTACCCTTGATGGCGACTCTGTTGTTCTTCATGGAGGACAACACATCTTCCAGTTTCTCCTCACTGGCCATGTTCTGCACCTCACTCAAATGAAACTCCTCAAACTCCACAGGAACATCAGCTGCCTAGAGGATGAGGCGAAAAAGGCAGTAGGAACAAGTGAGATGCAAGTATAAGGCATGAAAGAGGGCTAAGCTGGAACACAGGATGAAGGATGAGAAGGCCACTAATGGTTAGATGTTTAACCCTAAAGCCTATTATATCATATTCAGTGTTAAAGTTTACTTGTGTCTGAAAAAAACATGACTGAGAAAGTGCATCAGTACCTTGAAAACCTCTTTGACAGCAGTCATCAGCTCAGGTCCAACTCCATCTCCAGGGACCATGGTGACCTTAAAGGTGCTGTCAGCCCGCGCCGGGGGAGTCTCCGAAACATTCTGACTGGAGGTCAAACTCAAAGAGCGAGCATACAACGGCTGCAACCGGGCACCACTCAGACCCTGAGGGGTCAAAAATGTCACAGGTCAAGTACTATTATGGGTGGACATGATAGAGATGATCAACAAACTCTTATTTCTGGAGTGTCACAGACACATTTGACACATTTAACAGACATGACCGTTTAAGGACTATAATAAGTCAGAAATAGGTTTGTGAACCAGCTGTACGGTTTGAAATTGCACTTCACAGATGGTGATAATTCAATATACTGTATGTTGGCCAGGAATATTTTAAGTTTACTAATAAAGAGAAAACAACCCCCTTGCATCAATTCACAAAATTATTGACAGCACTGACAATAGATTATTTCTATCTATTTTAATAGAATTTTGAATAAGCGTTGAATAATTCTAGCAATTTTGCATACATGTTATTATTCCGGTGTACCCACGAAACATGCTACCTATCAGATTGTGCTAACAAAAAAATATTTACGTTGTTTTAAGGGTAAGTTTAGGGTAAGGGTAGGTATAGTATAGACATTAAAAAAAAGCCTCAAACCACATGAATAAGATGCTGGTAGCACAATCTGATAGGTAGTATTTTTTTCTATCTGTTTAAGCCTATAATGTAATGTATGATACCAGCAATCTTACTATTTCATTTGAATTTTCTCTCTTTCATTAGTTTGTATAGTATACATAAAAGCTTCTTCATGCCATTAAAACATAAAAACAGAATATAAATAAACATATTACCATATAACATCAGTTTACCATAGTACCACCGCTGTGTAAATGGATGTAATGGAGGTCCAGGTAAATTATTTAAGTCTCTACATCCAGACAATTTCTAAGTATGGAAGCCCGTTTCCGCCACTAAATAAAAAAATATAATTCTGTAAGTCCTAAGGGACCTCTCCTGTGAGCTGTCATCTGATTTTTCATGTTTTTACTATGTATCAAATGTTACACCCAATGTGTTCCAGTCCAGACTTGTCTTATACATCTAAATAACGCTGTTCGTCTCCTAGTTAATTTTTGTATTTTCCGTGTGACTCAGACAAACAAATGAGGAATATTTCATTATAAACGGACAGTATCGTTTTTCAATACTCACCTTGGCCAATGTTACGAGACTCCCTCTCAACGTGGCCGCCATCATGCACTAACTAACGGGAGAAAAAGGGTCTCTTCCTCCTGAACTAGGAATCGTGAGGTATGTGTTTCTCTACTGACCCCTACTGGATGCAAGTGTTACCGCAGTGCTTCTCGACTCCCACTAGTGGCCCTCGGTAAACTTTACAGGGGTGCCCAAACTCGGTCCTGGAGGGCCGGTGTCCAGCTGAGTTTAGATCCAACCCCAACCCTCAAGACACACCTGAACCAGCTAATCTTACTAGCTCTTACTAGGCATACTAGAAACCTCCAGGCAGGTGTGTTGAGGCAGGTTGGAGCTAAACTCTGCAGGACATCGGCCCTCCAGGACCGAGTTTGGGCACCTCTGCTTTAGAAGGTGAACAAACGACGTAATATAAAATAGTATAATATAAATGATAGACTTTTTATTTGCCCCTTCAACAACTCAACAGTCAATGGATCTAAAACATTAGTATTTGCATTTTTTTTCTTTTTCCCTCTTCAGAGACATTTATGTTTCCTTAAAAAGCTAGTGAGTAAATAAATCACAATGATAATTTTATCCAAATATATTTTTTTATTTACTGAATTACTCTGACTATTCATTTGGAACAGCATTTGTAAACCTGAGAAATACATTAACTTCATTATGAATTTGCCTAGAATTCGTGTAGAATCAGTAGCCTGAAGATCTTCTGTTTCTTCACTGGATAGCTAATTGAAAGAAATCTCATGTTAGTTTCTTAATAACAAGACAACTTCAGCAATTACAGAAAGTTAACTAAGATGATGTTAAAATAACAAAAAGGTTTATTAAGAAGTGTAGCAAGCATTTGTATGTTCAATGAGGGCATAAATACTCACAAGTCCAAGGTCATCAACATATGTATACTTCTGCTCTTTGTAATGTTGCTTTCTTTTCATAAATGTCAGGACAATCCAATCACAGATAACATTCACCTGGCCACAAGTCTGTTATACTCACCAAAGCTGCATTTATTCTACATTATATTGTGAAATATTATTAGAATTTAAAATTAATATTTTTTATTTGAATATATTTTACAATGTAGTATCTTCTTGATGGCAAAGCTGAATTTTCAGCAGTCGTTACTCCAGTCTTCAGTGTCACATGACTCTTCAAAAATCATTCTAATATGCAGCCTTGTTTAAAATGACACTGAAATATGCACCGAAAAGTCAGCTCTAATTTTTGAAATTATTGTATTCCAATGAGTAAAAGACATACGTACCAGGCCTAAAAGTGCCAAGCCTGCACCTATATTCAGAAGTGTTGGTATGATATTGAATTTTCCTGCCTGTATTAGAAACAAAAGTGTTAAGTATGTGTTAAACACCTACATTGATGCGATCCTGCATAATATATAACATTACAAAGGTTAAAGTCTCTCACCTGGCCAAATACCAAGACATCAAAGCGAATACCATAAACCTTGATAAGTGTCCTGGTCTCTGTGCCATCAATGTCCTTGTAATATTTAGCAAATCTGTAGAGATGTAATCAAAGGACACTCATTTAATACAACCTCACTTCCTTTCAGGAACCGCTTTTACTAACTGCAAACACCTCCTACCTGAAGTTGTACCCGGGGCCCACGTTATTTTCAGGGTCTTTGTTGTCCAGTCTGCGGAAAGTGTAACGAGGCACACACCAGCTCTGTGGCATGTCAAGGTTACAATCCCACCAGATCTGCACTCCCATCACTCCCCCCTAAGAAGAAGGGGGGGAAAAAGTGCACAAAATGCTATTAAAACATTTACTAATGTCAGTATTAAGACCATTTTAATTCAGCAATGTCAGATAAACATAAATTAAGTCTCTGACATGGACTGCCATAGTCTGAAAATCCTCTTCGGCTTTTTCAACAATATCTTTGAATCTGAAGATTGGGCAGTCAGGGTCTGTCTTGCGGCTGAACACACACGGTGTCAAGTAGGAGCTATTTATAAGGATATTCTTTCTGTAAGGACATAAGGAGCATGTTTCATTCATTTAAAACATCAACAGACAATCCACTGACTTTTTTCCCAGCCATCTAAGTAAAAACAAAAACAATGCATTTAAAAAGCTTACTTGTTGAAATGAAATTTGGGATAACGAATGTTATTCTTTATGAGCACAGTGAAGTTTTCAGCATCTGCCAGAAGTGGTGGACTGAGATGTCAAGAAGGAAAAAATAAATAAATAAATACACTACACATTTTGAGACAACGTTTAGGATTTTACTCTGGAGGTTCAACAATCTTCTCAAAAGGACACCAGGACAGCACTTCACAAGTCTTCACCGTGTCATTGTAAATTGACACATCTGCCTGTCCGAACACCTGTAAAAATAAAATGTTTTATGTACAAACCCGATTCCAAAAAAGTTGGGACAGTACAAATTGTGAATAAAAACAGACAAATAGATGGGATTGCAAAGATGACAAGTCACAGTTAGTGTCATCTTGCATTTAATGTATATACTGAGACATACCATTTCCACGAGCATCATTGAAGCCCCTTTTGCAGTCCCTGTGAGAAGTGCATATGGATGCTGGGGTCGGATTCTAAGTTACTCAAGTTAAAACAAGATTAAGATACATGATACAAGATACTGACACAGAAAATTTCAAGCAGTATTCTCTAATTCTGCTACTTGTTGGTTCAGCTTTTTTTCTCTATTGTTTAAAATAATTACATTTTACAATTACATTAAAATCAGTTAACTATTTGGTATTTGATTTCAGCGAGTAATGTTTGTTTTAATCACATAATTTTTATTAAGTGACAAAAGAGCACTATGCCTCCCATAATGACTCACCTCAGCACATTTGGACTGTGTTTGATTTGGGGTGAAGATCATATTGGTCAGCACAAAGAGTTATCCATCCTCCTGAAACATTTAAAAGCATGTGATTTCAAGTAATACCTAAAAAAAGATATGCTTCCTCATAACTGAATAATGCCAGAGGCATGAAAAATTTTAATTTCCTTAAAGACAGTGTAAACTGCTAAATCACATTTAAAAATCAGGAGAAACAGCACCACTGAGTTCTCACTTGACATTATTTAATGCAGCGTGCAACTGTTAGCATATTTGTATAGGCAAATTTTGTGGTTTCTGTACTTTTCCAAACAACCTGATATTTACTCATGTTAAGTTTCCTTTGAAATGTTAAATGCTAGTTGACCAGTGTGACCAGTTTTGAATACAAGTTAGTTTCCTGATTTGTAAAGTCATTTCTATTTCTATTTGAAATGACTTGTAATTAATCAAGTTAAATTATTTGACAGTCCTAGTTTCAGTGATTAAACAAGTATGAAAACATACTTTCAGCATAAGAGGAAAAATCATAGCCCGTATTAGAGAGGGCCCTTGAACTATGACAAGTCAGAATGACTCTGAACCTATAAAGTTTGAAAACCACTGGTTTAAGATCATTAAAGCAAACTTGTTACACCCAACACTGATTGCCCAAAAGACATTGTTCAAATCTGTGTATATTAATGCCAAAAGGTTGCACACAGCCCTTGAGTAAACAGCGTACACAATACAAGGTATGAGCATGCAGGTGCAGCCATATCCTCTTCATAACCCATGAAGGTGGTGGCACCAGTGAGGTTAGTGTGCATTTAAATCGTCTAGCCCATGGGGTGTCAAACTCAATTCCTGGAGGGCCGGAGCCCTGCAGAGTTTTGTTCCAATCCTGCTCCAACACACATACGTGACCCGTGCTGGCAAAATTAGGTGGAATGCGCACGGGCTAATTTTGAGCTACACGCCAAAAAAATTTATAAATTAAAACAATTATATTTTATTCAAATTTGAGATTTTCACAAAAATTAGTTCATTAAGCCCTAGCAATCCCAATGCTCCAACAGTGTTGGGTAAGTTACTCAAAAAAAGTAATTGATTACAAATGACTTATTACTTGAAAACTGTAATTTGATTACATTACTGAATGTAAAAAGTAATCAGATTACTAATTACTTTACTTTCAAGTTACGTTGAAAACATATCAAATCTAAAAATAAAACACTTCAAAGTGAAAATTGTAGTTCTTTCAGTAATTTAATATTGACTGAAAATTATTACAAAGGTATGAAAACAGCAACTTGACTAAAAGATTTAATCCATTTCTAAAACATTCTTAGTATAAACCTGTCATACGGATTACTTCATCAGAGAATATTTGTTTTAGGTAAGACTTACTTCATTTAAAAGTAGACACTTCAAGCTTTCCATAAATATGTTTCTCATGTCTGTGTGTGAAGGATTCACTGAGTTTTGGTTCATTTTAGTGATGCATTTCAGAAAGAAATTGGCAGAGACTTGGCAGAGACAGGGTGCGCTGAAAGCACAATCTTTTGTTGATATTGTGACTTTCCACGATGCCACAGAGAGGTACTTACACACTTCCCACTAAATTGTCATCTCACTTTCTGAGATTGGAGATCATGTACAACTCAAGAACAGATTTAAAGCAATTGTTGACATCCAAATAAGGATTAACCATATGATGGCTTTGTATGAGAAATTGAGTAATTGTTTAGTTATTGTTCCAGTTTTTACTATCTGTTCCTCTTAATAGAAAACCACAAAGCCCAACAAGAGTTAATTTTAATGCAGTACTATGTAAACATGGAAAAATAAAATACAAATAAATAAGAGAAACTAAGCGGGAAAAAACCCAGAATAATTAACTTGTAGAGAAGAGGGTAAATACACCACTGAGACTGATAACAAAAGATACATTTATTGACAATATTAGAGAGATTTAATGGAAATGCTGCTGACTGAATGGACCCCTTTTCTCTACAAGAAATTAACAAAATGCTATTCCTTATCATGCGGAGTATTCTGCAGGAAATCATATAATATCTGATTACATTCCATAAACACAGAGGGAGGAAACATTCCTCCCAGCTCCTTCCCATGGGTGTCAAGTGATTTTCTGAAACAATGCTGTATTGAGTGTCTGTGTTATTGCCTAGTTTTTCAAATGATAAGGTCACAGTGAATGCAGCAATTCAGAATTTGAGAGCGAACACAGCTGGAAACGTTCCAAGTTT